TGCTTAAAAGAGCAGATGAAAAAGCATACGGAAGGGCAGCAACCAGGAGAGGTGGGAAAGAGCATTTCAGAAATGGATTAACATGTATTTGCTAGTTTTGCAATTTTTCTCCATGCAATGGAGTGTGCAGTAGCTAAAGCATTTCACAAGTTGCATCAAGAGTTTTCCCCACCCATCACTCAGGGTGGGACGCTGTCATATTGCATTGCCTGTGCTTTGCCCTCCAGCCTGGGAGAAACCTGCTCTTGACGTGTTTATACGGAGTCCTTTACTTCTCTCTGTCTGCTGCTCTAGAAACAAACAAATTGCAAGGGAAAAAATTAGAGCTAGGTAATGAACTGATCGCGTCCTTAGATGCAGAAGTCAGAAACACCTAGTTATCTGGGAGGGCCTCTGACTTGGAAAGGCAGTCCTGAGATGCGAATGGGATTCCTGGTTCTGGTGCGCTGGGTGATCAGCAACTTGCTCTGTGCTTCAGTTTCTCTATCTGGAAAGAGGGAAGAGAATAGTGGCTTTTTCTGTTAAACAAAGGGGTTAGAGAAGAAAAGTACCAGAGACAGACTCACTATCAATGACTAAAATACTGTGATTGTGTCTTTTTCTCTAGTACCGTTTTCTTTCTAATTGAAATATGATGTTTAAGATATTCATTTACTCATTTTGTATGAGCGCTTTTTGTTCTAATTAAAGATCCTAAAATGACCTTGTATTTCAGGCTGATGACTGGTGATCCCTAAATACTTATTTAATTTAAAGGTAGGTCTTTGTTATTGCCAGTGAAGGAAAGTACCAAGTCCTTGGCCCTGATAAGAGTGCCTGTGCACTATCAGTACTCATCTTTGCTACCTTTCCTCTCTATGCTTCCCTTTCTTGTTTTAATATGAACAAACAGCTTCCAAGGATCGGTCTAAAACATACTGGCCTGTTTCGCAGTAGGGAGGAGAAGTTTAGACTAAAATTCAGGATGCTGGCATCATGCAATTGCATGTGAGCACCCTCCTGTATCCTGCGAGTGCAGATGACTGACTGCTGGTGCATGGTGACATCTGACTGAAGGGGAGACTATGAAGCTGCCCAGGGCCACTGAAGTCTCAGTGCAGGGAGAAGTCTCAGTGACAGCCTGTGCTCGTCTAAAATGATTTCCAGAAATCACAGTGCTGAAGGAATCTCTGCTTTCTGTCCTTACCCTGCTTTGAGGGAATTTGTTGCCTTTTCCAGCATTTCTCCACGCTCCTAAGGAAAGGAGGTGTGGACCTCGCCTACCTTCCCTGTGCAAACACCCACAAGCAGTGGGGAGATGCAATTCAGGACGTTAGGAAATCTGGGCGGTTTATGAGGTTTGAAGGAGAGAGATCGATTATTTTCTTTTACTAACACCATTCTGCTTAGGAAGAGTTTGCTCTATACGTGTAATGGAATCAGCACAAATTATGAGATTGTTGTCAAGTGGCTCTTTGTAAGACAGACTATTTAATAACATCGCCTTCCCCTTCAGAGATGACATCTCTTCTCTAGATGGCAGAATACCTTGGTTCTTCTTTGCTGCACATCCTATCTCACTGCTTGCTGCATTGGATAAAGTGTTAACAAAAGGGGGAACACCATTCCCTTGACCATGTTTGCGCTATTATTTCAAGTGAAAGTCTCTGACTTAGCTGGCTGAATATCTGAAATGGGAACATAGATGTTAGTCTGACAAAGTTGCGCTTAAGACACGAACATGGCACTTTGCTGAGATCAAGAAGCAATCAGATCAGCGACATTTGTGAGAGGATTCATAGAGACTATTTGGCAAGCAGATTCAAAATCCACTGAAGCTGACAAGAGACTCCTCATCGATTTGGAGAGGCTTTGGATCAAGCTTTTGCTGCAAAGAGGAGTTCTAAGATACCAATTAGGTCCGTGCCACTTGAAAGAGATTAAAATGGGCTCAGCCAAGCATCTGGTAGCATCAGCAATAAAAGTCATGCACTGGCTTTGGTAATGAGCTTCACATCACACGGGAACTATTTTCCCATGAGTTTGCAAAAGGTTTCCCCACCCTGCTAGGACCTGCACTGACTTGCAGCTCAGGCCTCCCTGTGTTGCAGAAAGGAGTCTTTCCAAATAGGCGGTCCCTTTGCTTCGCCCTTCTCAGGGCTGGCAGGAAGGAGAACAATGCTATATGCCACTATAAAACACAGCAGGAAATATAGAATTGATAATTCCCACCTATAAACACAGACACATTCACACCTTCCCTTGCCTGTTCTGTTACCAGACAGATGTGAGTGCACTGAAAAGCAAACAATAGCTTTAGATAAATAGCAAGTTAGCTCTTCCATGGTTAGCTGAATTGTTTTCAGTAAATGCCCAGGGGCTCCACGTCTCTGCTAAGCTTCTGACAACCCTACAAAATCATTCCGGCTTATTCTGACTCATAAAGAAAAATGACATGGCTAACATCTGGCAAACTGCTCCTCTGTCCTCCAGCCAGGCCTCTGAGACTGGGTTCACTGCTCAGCTCGCCGTGGGCCAGCAAAGGCTACCCAGAATCTTTCTTCACCATCCTTGTCCTACACTCTCCTTCAGTCACAGTCCTTAGGGTCTCTGAATGCCACTGCAAGTAGTAGAGCTAATGAGGATGATTTCAGCCTCAAAGGGACACAGTCATTCACAGCAGAGCAGAATGTGGCTTTGGTGAAAGGTCACGATGGCGTTGCTGAGTCAGTCAATTTTGCTGTAGCCAAAGCAAAACCAGTGTAGAGAGAGTGCCTCAGCAGCATGGCCATCCTGGAAATTTTTTGTGGGCCTGCCCCACTGCTAGAGAAGCCACCAAGACTCATCACACTTACCCATGTGCCTTGTCCTTGCTTTTCTTATCACATGCAAATTCTTTTTCCAAATCTCTGGGAGCTCTGCAGTAAGCACCAAACCTGTTATCTGTTGTTCTGCAGTACTAATAGGTTTTTTTCTGTGTCCTCTGGGGTAAATGTAAAGGGAATTTGCCCTTCTTTTCTCCCCTTCCAGCAATTCGCCTGTTTAGTTGCAAGCCTACTGAATGAAAGTATCAAAATTACTTCAGACTTGTGCTCAAGTGGCAGAGCAATCTGGGTATCAGAGTAGTGGGAATGAAAGGTTTCCTCTTATATAGGTGGCATGCCTGATATATAACCCATTCTAAAAGTTTCCAGCCGTTACTCACCTGTGCAATTCTCTGGGACACAGCAGAGAGGATTCACTGCATTCCTGAAGATCAGTTTGTTAATGGAAATACTTAGCTTAATTAATTAACATAATGACAATTCTGCAAAGTGTTAGAGACAGAAATGATGCTGACTGTGCTCAAGGCTGGGATGAAAAGCGACAGAGCAGCAGGAGATAGGGAGATCCTGCAGAGCATACTAATTTCTGTATCACGTGAAATTAGAGAATACCAATCTCTCTGTCACATGGTATTTCTTCATTAGAAAATACGTATTTCTTCAGAGGGGCACAGGTGTGGACATGTCCCTTGTACCAGGCACAGGCTTGTGCCTTGAACCTTCATGGAAATAACAAGGTGCCAGAGTTGACTTTTCTCTCCCAGCCCAAGGGACCTGTGGGTGGCTTGCACAGAAAGAGGCATCCGAAGTACATCTGCCTAAAGTTAGGTGAGAAAAGCCCCCTCAGCCACGGGTCTTTTCCTGCATAAGCCTTCCAAGGTAAACCTAAGGGAGATGAGGCAGACAGTTAAGGTCTATGTCACTGTCTTTATTTAGTTCTTTTCATGTCTGTTTGCTGAATGTCTTGGAGATCTGCTAGCCAGGGTGCTCAGGGGAGTAAGGTGGAAGAACTTGATATAATGGGGCAAACAAACAGCATTAAAATGCCTTTTTTTTCCTTTCTGGAGTACACACCTTAGTGACACATCTCTGACCTGGAGACAGCCATGCAGGCCTCCAAATGGCAGGACGACATCCAAAAGTTTTAATATGGCAAATATTGGATTCAGTCGTGATCTATGGCGTACTTGGGGCAAATGTGGAATATCTTTGGTGAAGTGGTGAAGTCTGTCTGAACAGAGAGCAGGGCAGCTAAAGCCACTGTTTCTTTTGATTAATTTAAGTTTTTTCGGTTTTTTTTTACTTTCTTTGTTTTTTTTCCCTGGCTTAGTGGTTGTCACTTCTTACGGCATATTCCCCGTTGTTCTTAGAATATCCCGTTGCATAAGCTGATAATACACACCTTGTAACTCATAAGCAGATATTAATTTCCTTTATTGGTTTCTTAGCACAATGAGATTCAAGAATCCCTTTTTAGTACCTTTTCACTCCCTTTTCTCCCTTTCTAAGGAACTTGCACGTGGAAGGTGAACAAAAGAGGATAAGGAAATTAAAAATAAGGACAGGCACTGCTGGAAGGGCAGAAAGGGGCAACGTCGCCTGTGATGGCAAGAGACATGACATGAACTTTAACAGGGTATAAGAATTTTGGCTCCTGTCTTATAGATTGGGTTAGACCCCATGTACTGGAAATAGGACATTTGCTCTAATAGGAGGGTCATGTCAGAGCTTTCATTTCTGTCTCCAAGTTGCTGGATGCCAGATCCTGAGCACTGCATGTCCCCAGACTTCAAGGGATGGTTTGGCACCAATGTAAGGGCTAGAGGTGGGCTAAACTCCCTAACATGTGTATGGCTACTGGGTAAATGTTTGTTCTGTGCTTTGCACAAAACCCCCCATTGGCCAGTGATAAGAATGAGGTATGCAGATTGCAGTTCAGCACCTCATGAGGTTAATGCCTAAAATTAGTCATCTCAGTGTAGTGCAGGTTTGCCTGTGATGCCTGAGGTTTAATGTCTCTGTACAGGAGACTGGCACTGCTCTTCCTTCCAGGCTCATACAGCAGGGCTGGGAGATTGGGCCACAAAAATATCTGCATAGGAATTTGGTAGCCCCACAGGAAGTGGGTCTTGACAATGTTGATCTTCCATTCAACCCTTTCCTAATTTTTTTGCTTCCTGCTCTCTTACTGATCAGCTGTACAACGGGACACTGAAGCGGGATGCGGACAACAGACGCTACAGTTCATACAGCCAGATGGACGGCTGGGGCAGCAAGCACTACAGCAAGGCTGCTGTCTGCAGCCCCACCAGGGCCGGCAGCGACTACTGCTTTGTGCAGAACATCAAGAGCAGCCGGAGTGAGCCTGATCTCTACTGCGAACCGCCCCGGGGCACACTGAGGAAGAGTCAGGTGGGGAGCCGGGCAGAGCACAAGCCAACCTTGAACCGCCAGAGCATCTACAGCAGCTGTAGCACCCAGCAAGGAACTACGAGGACAAGTAAAAAAATGACAGCACGGGCCCTCTCCTGCCCCTCCAGCAACAAGGCAGATGTGGTCTATGCCCAGCCCATGATGAATAGCAAGCAGGATGTGGTTTATGGACAGGCTCAGTCCAGCTCCAAGTAAGTCTCACACAGTGGGATTCATCCAAGCAACTGTAGACATTTGATATGGAGGCTTGGGCTGCTTTTTAGCCACTGGAAATCTGTTCACCTATGCACAATGCACTCATTCTCATCCTGCAGTAGAGTCTAAAGTAGGTCAGATGAGTTACACTCTTAAAGAGCTTATTTCTGGTTGCTGATTATGAATGCTGACCAATATGACCAGCTCAGTGTAAACATCTCTGCCGCAGGTGTTTGACATTAGGCAAGATGATCCCCTAGTCTGTGGTGGTATTATCCTACAGCTCCTTTGCAGGACAAAAGTGGGAAGGTGAAGAGCGGAAAGGCCAATGTGCAGTTTAGGTGTCTCTCCTGGCTGCCACACCACTCTGATTTGGTAGAAAACTAACTGGAAAAAACGGCCAGTTTTGAAGGGGTCAGTTGCTTGGGTTCAGGACTTGGAGCAGAGCTGAGAACTTGCTGAATGGCAGTATTTACCCTTCTGTCTTTCTAAGCAGTCCTTGCTTCATTCCCCGAAGAGGTCTGACTGATTCAGGTTCAGGGAAAAAATGAGTCAGAAATTGAAAAAACTAGCCTAACTGAAAGAATTTACCAAGCCTGGAAAGAGGAAAGAATGGAAGCTGCACATTTCCTTCCCATCCAATCCCATCGTGGTTATGACTTATGCAAGGGTGGAGGATTGTCCTTTGTGTCTCATTTAGCACCAGATCCCTTCTTGTAAATGTTGCCTACAACAGTAGGGCATGTAATACACACCATAGAGCTCAGTGCAGACACTCCCAGCCTGTTACATCTGTACAACACAGCACAGTGCTCAGAAGGAAAAAAAAAAAAAAAAACTTGCAGGATTTGGTGGCATTACAGCAATGTTAGTTTAAAGCTGCCCTGAAGCTAACAACTACACTGCCATCAACTCTGGAGCATGAACCATGTTCTTCTGCTCACAATAGTCCTAGAAGAGATTTAATCTGTAATGTTTTACTAGTCTAGAGAAAGAGGGTCTACATCTTCTGCAAGCATTCCCAGGAGTGACTGCACTACCTTTGCTGCATCAGTGTCATATAGGGCTTGCTCTATGCCAGCCCAGAGATTATCACAATCCCCTACAGACATGGCAGACTGTCATACAAACTGTAGAAGCTCCTGAGCTCATTTCTGGTGGTCCTTGGTAAACTTCCTGTGTTATCGAAAAAGGAATTTGCTCACTACAGCACAATATGTGAGACTACTTAATAATGATCATAGCTTTTTCTGTAACTCACAACAAAGGCTTTGATTGTTTAGCCTTTGATCCAAAATGTGTTGTAGATATTGAGAAAATCCCTCCACAATAGGTGCTGTGAGCCAGATCATGGCCTTGTTCACATCTGAATGTTGATTTCCAGCTTTCTCCTTGCCTTTGGCTAATTCTCTGCTCAGCCTCCCTCATTTCAAACTAGGTGGTGGAAGTAAATCCCAGACTGTGTATGAAAAGAAATATCATTTGCTTGTTAGCATGTTGTCGTGAAACATTGGCTTTCTGTGTGCCCCGTTCCTTTAAGTTCAACACATGCAAAATTAGCTCTGGTCACCTCCAGCATGGAGCACTGGTGGTATGGGTTTGCTCGTCTCAGAAGCTTTGTAATTCCTGTGGAATGGAAGACAGAGACACTATGTAAACTAGAAGCAACTTGTTCCAGGGAATTTCTGACTAAAGAGCATGAAAGTGTAGTGGGAGTGACGGCCGAATGAACAAATGTGGGACTGATGCTGCTTTCTGCATAGGGAAAATGTTGATTTTGAGAAGTCAGTCCCAGGTGGGCAGGCTTTCTTCAAAGAAAGCCCTACACGGCAACACAGATAGGTCACAGTTGCAGACTTGGTCATTGCTTTGGAAAGGTCACTTGAAGAATAATCAGTTTTTCTAAAAAGAAACTGCTCTTGTGAGAGGAATATTCTGTAGTGCTGAATGCCCTCTGGTTAGGGAGTGGTTCCATTTATACACTTGTCCTGGCTGGGGGCATTGCTCATCTGGCAGAACTGGTTCTAATGTGGAAATGTCAGGCTTGAAGTCGTAGGCCCAACAGTGGCTGTGTCCCCTGAGTAAATCTGATCTGGCTGGGGCACCCCTCCCTGCTCTCAGTGAAACTCACTGCAGAGCTGGATTGGTTTGGAGAGCAGTTTGTACAAGTGGTTCTCCTCCTGACTCAAAGGAGCTGAGCTTGGCAGCAGCCATCTTTATAATTTTGGAAGCATATTAAGGAGTTGTCCTCTTTGAAAAAATGACTGATTCGGAAGGCCAGTCCTTCTCTGAAAACAGGTTATGGCAGGGTTGTCGTTAGCCTTGGTCTGGAGTGCTTTTTTCTTGGGAAGGGGCTTTTATAGTTAGGACTGTATCTGGGCTCTCTTTGTTGTGTAGGACTGCTTCTGGTTGGAGAATTCTGTAATTGGAGATCTTGATTTTTATTTGAGTGGCCTGATCTTTGGGTAGGGAGAGGTTTGTTTGTAGGCCCTCAGGAAGAGGGTTTAGCTGGTTAATAGCTGCTGGGTAATACCTGATTTGGGTGTCTGCTCTTTCTATTCTAGTAGCTCTTAAAGTAGAGTTTTTGCCTTTTAGAACAAGGACCATTTTGTGTTTAGATTTCATGCACCTAATTCCTGTGTAGGTGGGTAAGTTGTCCACAGTTTGGCAAGCCGTTTCTGTGAGCAACGGAAGTGTTAGACTATTTCCACCCTTTCATAAGTGATACAATGGGATAAATCCTATTGCTGTAGGAGTGATGCTGGTGGGATCTGAAATCCAGTGGGTCTGCCTGTAATACAGAACTGCTCCGTAACACAGTAACTCTGGATGGAGTCAGTGCAGTTTCAAGAGCTCTGCTCCTCAGGTGTCCCATGCTATACACCTCATCTTCTTCATAGAGGGTGTGAGATGAAAAAAGGAACATTGGACATTCTCAGATAGTGATATTGGCATGTGTTTATCAAAATATTGAGTATGCAAGAACTGTTAAACTGAGCAGTGTCTCTAGTAGAAGTGTACTTGGTCACGAGGTTATTTAATTTCTAGAACTCTTCCTGACTGTGTGATTACCTCCATTTATTGAACTGATTTTTGATGTATAAAGCATTTCCTTTTCAGAAACAGAGAAGCTATCTTGGACAACTAAATCTCAGAAGAGGCCTTCCTCATATAGAATCAACTTCAGTCTAGGAAAACACCTTTCCTCTAGCTAGGTGATGAGTAGTTTAACATTTGAATGTTTTTTTGTGGAAATCTTGTGCCGTAAACTAAAACATGTTGTAGGGTTTTACTGGCTCTGGTGATGAAATCTGAGTTTTGCAGTTTGTTCAGATCAGGAGGTTATTCCAAAGAAGTATCTTGCTTGCTTTGAGAAATGTCCTCTTGAAGTATCTTCCCTTCTACCACCCATCATTGTGATACTGCCTCAGTGAGCAGAGAGGGACTTTGTCATGTCCCTTCCAGAAATACCTCTTTAAAACTATTCATGGGCTTTCTTGTAAGCCTTTGTAAGCATACGTTATGTCATATCTGCAGCAAACTTTTCTGAGCTCAGCATCTCTGGTCTGGGCTCAGAAGTTTATGCATAATTCTGATGACTCCCAAAGTCAGTTCCCGATAAGCACCATTCACATTTTCACAGAATCACAGAATCACAGAATGACAGAATCGTTTAGGTTGGAAGGGACCTCTGGAGATCATCTAGTCCAACCTCCCTGCTCAAGCAGGGTCCTCTAGAGCATATTGCCCAGGATCACATCCAGACGGCTTTTGAATATCTCCAGGGAAGGAGACTCCACCACCTCTCTGGGCAACCTGTTCCAATGCTCTGTCACCCTCACAGTGAAGAAGTTTTTTCTCAGGTTCAGAAGGAACTTCCTGTGGTTCAGTTTCTGCCCATTGCCTCTTGTCCTGTTGCTGGGCACCACGGAGAAGAGGCTGGCCTCATCCCCTTTGCCGGAATACAGCTTTTTGGAGTAGGTATTTCTATCTAATAGAGCTGAAGGGAGATTTTTTGGTGTCCGGGGCACCCCATTCTCCCTGCCATGCTTCTTCCCTTTGGGCTCTCATGGCTTCCTGCAGATCTGCAGCCTTTCATCCTGGGAGGCAACAGCAACAGTGTTTTCAGGAGCTGATGAAGACTAGGCATATTTGCCTGCTCTTAACCACTTCCTCTGATTGATGGTACTTGCTTTTCTTTCGTGACAGTCATGCTCCAATGACTATGTGCCATCTTGAGCTAGCTAGCTTTTAGCCAAGTAACATGTTGTGATTCAGCATGATCAAGAAAAATTTTCTGCAACTTCCTAAGTCATCAGGTAGCGGTAACAAGAAACAGCAATAAAGCATGTGGTATTTAATATGTCCTAGAAAACCCTGGGTCTTTCTCCCCCTTGAGCTGGAACTTGAGGTACAGGAACACTATTGGTGCCACCAGCAGGCATTGTTTTAACCCTACTTCCAAATGTGTTGCATTGCATGCTTCAGATACCTCATGCACAAGGCATTGACAGTCCAGGCCCAGGCTGGATTGGTGATATAAGCTGTGTGTGACTCTGCTATAGTCCGTGCAGTAGTCAACTAGTTATGTGGACATCACTTTATTTCAGATGCCTATATCTGAACTACTTGCCCTGGGCTCTTGTTGCCACAGTAGAGATGCAGTCAGGGGCTAATGGAGCTGAAATCTGAGGTAGCTCAGTGAGTTACCCCCTAATAAAGTCAGCATCTCTCTGTTGACTTCAGATGAAACCCTGGTGATTGTCTGAGTTCCAGGTACCACTGTGAGGTCAGACCAGCCTCACCCCTTGTGAAGGATTCAGAGTATTTTCATTTGTAAAGGCAAAGAGGTTAGTTGGCAAGTCTGCAGACATGCTCCAACTTAAGGGTTGCTGATAATGGGCAGGAGTCATTAATGGACACCTACAATATGCATTGTCTTCCATAAAACCACATGCACCTGTGGCTTCATTTTTAGACATTGTTGATACATTTCATTCTGGCGTTCTCTGTGGATGGGAAGCTAAAATGCCTCTTCAAAGTTCACCTGAAAGTGAGTGCCTCTCAAGAAAGCTGGAATTATGTAAGATTTTGGTGCTATACTTTCAAGGGCCTTGAATACCTGGCTGGCAGGTATGGATTAGGCAGTGAAAGTTGGGGCAACCCTTTGGATTTTTTATATTGCAAAAGCATGATTCAAATATGGTCATATCTGCCTATGGCAACACTGACTAGCCCAAGACAGGCTGCAGCAGTCTCTGTGAGCTGTAGCTAAACTTCAGGAACAGTAATTGTGTGTCCTGTAACGGTTCATTCCTCGGCAGGAGCTTAGTCTCTCTGGATGTTCAATAAGTAGCAAACACTGCTATTATTGAAAGACTCAAAAAAGGGGACTTAGGCTGTTTTCTGATAGAGCTCCTCTCTTTCAGGGCAGGAGATTGGGACCAAAGGAGATCACTATTGAAACATAGGTTCTCCCAGGCTTTGCCACACAGTGAAAGCAGAACTAAGTACAAAGACAGACATCCTCATTTTGTTTTGTTCTTATCTGACATAAACTGCTTCTGAAAGTGGCTATTTTACAGTGTTGGCTCAGTGTGATATGGACTTGTCTGCACTGTGTGCTTGCATCTGAAGGAATTGCAGAGGAGCTGTGCATGATGCTGTTCTGGCAGAGTTTGTACAGTAGGATTGCACATGGGGAGAATCCCCTTCCCCTGGGTTCTGTGTCAGTCTGTGCCTCTCTCCCTAGTATTTACTCACTGAGCAAAGCCTGAGGGGAGGCTCCAGCCGAGCTCTCTATGGCACCAAGATCTTGGTGGAGAGTTCCAGCGACAGATGTGGCTGCCTGGCACGGAGCATGGCCATCAGGTTTGATTCGGTGCAGCCTAGTTCTGGAAAGCTTGGATGCCCTAGAGAGGTGCTGTCATAGCTTTGAGTGTCTTCAATCTCTATTTGTTAATGAACAATGCAATTTCTTAGAAATTTCTGTCTTCCTCAGAAGAAGATTCCTGTCTTCCTCAGACAAGATGGAGACTTAGATCAGATTAGCACAAAGCAACTTGCTAATACAAAGTGAGCCAAAGGCATTAGTATCAAATAAGAGAATGTGCCTTTCTGTGATCCTGATCCTATTAAGTATTTGTTTCCCTTCCAGACCTGAATCTGATCATCTAATTTGTCTCTTGTTGAATCATTTCTAATTGAGGTCTCTCCCTATTCTGATTGCTTCTTTATCGTGGAAGAAGAACAACCTTTGGAGTTCTTCCTACCAGGCACATTGGCCCAGGTTGGAGATGGCCACAATCCAAGAATTTCTCTTGGATCGGGTTGTTCACACACTGTTAATCTGGTTACGACTATCTCTGAGTGGCTGACAAACAATCTCCCCATTAGCACAGGCCTTGCCAGGGAAGTTATAGTCTCAGCTAGGAGAAATCACTGCTTTTGACTTCCTAGGTAGTATGACTAAAGTTGACTGCTCATCCTCTGTGAACTTCTCCTGTCGGGGATCCAGCAGAGGAAATAATTTCTGCTTGGCCATCTTTTCCCATGCAGAACTGGACCTGGCTGCTGAGTTTTTCATTGCTGAAGGAGGATTTGCCCCTCTTGTGGAATGGATGTGTAGGAAATTGCCCTCCTTGAGTAGCTGCCCTAGATGGACATCTTTCTCATAAAACGTGCTCTTGGCTTGAGGTTTTTCTTAACTTGGGCAATATACTAAAAAAAAATCATCACCATGATTAGATATGCTCCCCTCCCTACCTCCCTATCCTTCTAGCCCAGGCAAAGGAGAAAGCCCTCTGGTGTCACTCATGCTGGACCTGTTGGTGTCTCAGCTCTATTGTGTGTCTCAGAGACACCAAAAAGACTAAGAGAAAATCAGAGTATCCTGAACCTTACAATGACTAAATCCAACCCCAAGCTTTTTGAGGTTCCAAAGTCTCCAGTTTAAACTTTTTCTTTCCAATTTTGCATTTCCTTATTTCGAGCTTAATGCAAGCTTCTTGGAGTCAAGTTTTGATAATGGTTCAAATGATGAAGAATTTTATGATGAAGCGATATGATTTTATTCTTACAATAGAAATGGAAGTGGAATGACGTTCATCTAACCTTAGTCACTGAAAGCTTAATGTCCCGTCCAAGATCATCATCTAAGATTCCTGTATATCAGCAGAGGCACAGGTATCTCCAGAGGGCAGGTCCTCTTGTCTTAAGATAAATGTTTAAGACACACAGGCAAATTGTTTTTTGTAAGCACCTATTTCTCTCCTTTCACTACACAGGTGCTTAGATGAGTAAGTTAAACTGGGTGCAACTTCACCAGTAAGAGCAGGGGAGGTGAATCGTGTCTAATAACAGTCTCTGCTGCTGTCTTCCAGTGTCATGCCATAATTATTGACTTTTGATATTTTGTATGACATTTGTTATAGAATGGTAGGGATTATTCATTGGCCTGTGCTGTGTGGAGGTGAGAGTCTTTGGATACTTAAAGATAAAATATTTTTCTTTTAGTAAGCTGCTGGTCCTTTCTAGACCTTTATTTTTACAGTTCTTTGGCACAATCAAAATGAATCTGTATATCCTGTGCATGATAAGCTAGTCAATCCCTCCTAGAAATATTTAATACTTCAAATGTAATAGGTAAATTTAAAGATATTATTTTAAAAATTCTATTTTGTTAGAGTCTATTGGATTGTCTCATGGCAGTCAGCCCCCCTACCCAGTCACTAACTAACTAGGCTGACATGAAGCAAGAGCTAGTATACAAATTGATGTGGCTCAAACAGGAACTGATCGCCCCAATCTCCAGGTAAAATTCCCCATCAGTCTGAGCTGGATCCTGAACAAGAAATGAGATCAGTCAGGCAGCAGAACTATTAGGTAATTGTCCTAGCAAGTTTTTGATTTCATCTACTATTAACAAAGTGTTTCCCATTTCTTTTTCATCGCTGCTTAAATAGTAGTAATCAAATGGGACTTAGGTTTCTGAGTCTTCTCAGTCCTGAACTTTGTGCTGTTATTTACTTTGTGTGAATTAATGTAGGTTCTGCTGCCATGAGCTGAGACCCCTGTAAAGCCAGCTGCAGGCCTAAGAGGCAAGGATGCAAGAAGAAATAATAGCTTTTTTTAGGTTAACTGATGTAATTGGAAAAAGAGACAAGCTTTGTGGTTCAGAGCCCCTTCATCAGTCTGCAAGTTTGTACATTTTTTTTTAATTTTATGTAGCTCAATATCAGTACTGCTAAAGACAGCTGGAACTTGATCTTTCTAAACAAGGGGACAAATGTTTAAAGGTCTATATTTTTTTCAAGCATTTCATTCCTG